GGACAACTTGGGGTCTGGCGGCCGCGGTATGCAGGGTGTGGTCTGTCGTGTTTGTCGAGGGCGCGAGGCGGGACACCCGGGATTCTCGGGACAACTTGGGGTCTGGCGGCCGCGGTATGCAGGGTGTGGTCTGTTGTGTTTGTCGAGGGCGAGAGGCGGGACACCCTGGACGCTCGGGGCAACTTGGGGTCTGGCGGCCACGGTATGCAGGGTGTGGTCTGTCGTGTTTGTCGAGGGCGCAAGGCGGGATAACCGGGACACTCGGGACAATTTGGGGTCTGGCGGCCGCGGTATGCAGGGTTTGGTCTGTCGTGTTTGTCGAGGGCGCGAGGCGGGATAACCGGGACACTCGGGACAATTTGGGTCTGGCGGCCGCGGTATGCAGGGTGGGAGTGGCCAGGAGGTCTTAAAACAAAACATCTAGCGACCCCAACCTGTCCGGTGTGGAACAGCGCAAACAAACATACAAAACACACTCATAAACAACACAAACGCACACAACACATACAGGACGGAACATAGCCAACCCCAACAAAACACACACACACACAAAAAAAACCACACACGCACACAAACATGACTAAATTATGGCTCTGACTTTGCACACACCACTTTGGGGGAGCTTGCACAGGCTCGGCGCTCCGATCTCTTCCACGGGGCTCCCCTCCCGCTTGTGCAAAACATCTGCACGCGCGGTGTCGGCGTGCTGTCGGAAACGGGAGCACATGCTTTACCAGTGGCGGGCTGCGTGTCAGTCCCAGGATTTTTTGAGGGTCGGGGACGACGTCGGGGTGGTGTGGTGTAAATTTTTTGTCCCCGTTCTCCCGGTGAGGCGACGCGAATAGTTTACACCAGGACCCCCCCATGCACAGGATCCGCTTCCCTGTGCGAGCTCAAGTGCGGGGCCAGAAAGAGCGTCGGTGCATGCAGTTCGGCCACCTGCCGAGGGTGAGAGCCAGTGCGCAGCGAGCCGCGGCGCGAAGGCGTGGTGGTGGCTCCAGCTTCGGCCGCCTCGGCAGTCCGTCGGGGGAGCACCGGGCAGCCAGAGATGCACACGGCGCAGGCAGCCTCCTGGGCGAGAGCGTGGACCACCGCCACCGAGGATCCACTGGTTCGATGCTCGTCTCGGGGACCTTCCGGGGGCCCACCTCCTGGATCTGTTGGGTTCCAGGTCTATTCCAGTTCGACTGGAGTTCGACTCCAGTTCGACTCCAGTTCGGCTCAGGTTCGGCTGAGGTTCGACTAAGGTTCGACTCGAGTCGACGGACGCCCCCCGCAGCTTCGACGCACGAGCGGAGCGACTGGCTCCGAAAAGGTCCCCAGAGTGAGCATCTGACTTTGGGGGTACCGGCCGCTGCCCTGCTCGTTAGATGCTTGAGCTCTCTGGCCGCGGCCGACGAGATCGGCCGCTGCCCATGTTGCCTCACCGATTTGCTTCGAGATCGGTCGCGATCGACCAGGCGCGATCGGTTGCGACCTGTCGCAACCGATCTTGGAGTTGATCGCGATCGGTCGCGACCGATCTCGAGTGTCGATCGGTTCCTACCGACCGGGGCCGATCACATCTTTATGCAATTATTTGGCTTGGGGCGGGGGGTGGGAAGCCAGAACGACTTGTCTGCGTCGGGTGAGACACATGAACATAAACTTCTGGAGGTCCGCGCGGATTTCGTGGCTCGGCGTTGGAACTCCCTGGCGCCGCCTTTGGCGCGCAGAGCGCGTCAGAGGGGGGGGGGGGTCCAGCGCAGATCCAAGGTATTTATCCCCGCGAACCTTCGAACATGTCTGTTATCATGCAGTTACTCCTTGTCCTGGTTCGGTTACTTTGCCTGGAGGCGTGTGCGTGTGTGCTGCAATTGTGGGCGCTGCCAAAGGATGACTATAGATGACACAAGGACGAAAAACAGTCCAAGCTATGGGAGGATATTTTTGGAGGAGGAGGAGGAAGAGGAGGAGGAGGAGGAGGAGGAGGGGGAGGAGGAGGAGGGGGAGGAGGAGAAGGTGGAGAGAGAGGAAGGAGGAGGGACAGGAGGCTTTTTTGACTGCACTTGGCTCGTTGCAAGTAGCTTGAGCTGAGGGACAGGAGGAGGGAGGAGGGAGAAGGGAGGGGGGAGAATGAGGAGGGAGGAGGGAGAAGAGAGAAGGGAGGAGGGAGGAGGGCGAGGAGGAGGAAGGAGGGATCAGGAAGGAGGGAGGGAGGAGGGACGAGGGACGTGGGAGGAGGGAGATGGGAGGAGATAGGAGGAGGAGGAGGACGAGGAGGAGGGACGATGAGGTGGAGGGAGAGGAAAGGAGGAGGGACAAGAGGAAGGAGGAGGGAGGAGAGAGGGGGGGCAGAAGGAGGAGGGAGGAGGGAGAAGAAGGAGAAGGGAGGAGGGGGAGGGCGAGGAGGAGGAAGGATGGAGGAGGAAGGAGGGAGAGAGGAGGGACGTGGAGGAGAGGAGGAGGGACGAGGGTCGTGGGGGAGGGAGATGGGAGGAGGTAAGAGGGGAGGAGGAGGAGGAGGAGGAGGAGGAGGAGGAGGAGAAGAAGGGAGGAGGAGGGAGGAGGGAGGAGGGAGGGAGGGGGGAGGAGGGACGTGGGAGGAGGGAGGAGGGACGAGGGACGTGGGAGGAGGGAGGAGGGAGGAGCGATGAGGGAGGAAGGAGGAGGGAGGAGGGAGGAGGGAGGAGGGAGGAGGGGGAAGGGAAGGGAGGGAGGGAGGGAGGAGGGCGGGAGGAGGCAGGAGGAAGTAGGGAGGACTGACTGACTGTAAAAGGACGATGTCTTCCCAACAAGCAGACCAAGGAGCGGTGAGAAGACCACGTCGGCCGTGACTCGCTGCCCGCACGAGACGGCTCGGTGCGTAGGGTGGCATGGTCCCCTGAAGCCTTCGCCGTTATTTCAGGTTCCTCGGCCAGGAAAGCCACGACCAAACCTGCCGAATCGAGTGGCATGCGCAACTGGACTGTACGAATACGACAAGCCCAGGGCGGGTGCACACAAGGTCCCATGGGGTTCACGGGCCACACGACTCCACCTCCCGACCAAATGTTCAATCCCCGTGCCTGGTACCCACCTCCAGGCCACGGGCGCAGCTAAGGCGCCACATGCGGACAGGCAAACTGCTTGCCGCTGGTTCCGAACATTGGACTCGGTTGCTTCTCTCCTTGCTTGCTGCAGCGGGCAGCCCTGATTGTATGCCTTGTACGTGAAGACTGAGTACCAGGATACGGTACCCGGTGCCCACGCGTAGGGCAAGAGGAAGTAGGGAGGAGGGAGGAGGGAGGAGGAAGGAGGGAGGAGCGAGGAGGAGGAGGAGGAGGAGGAAGAGGAGGAGGAGGACCTGTGTCGACCCCAGAGTCACCAACGATGTTGGAATAAGCCCTCCCCCAAGCTCTCTCTTCATAGCCCTTACAACGGCTCAATTCCACAGAGGGACCTGCCTCGTTGCAAGACAACCGACTGAAGACCCTGAAGCATGCGAAAACATTGTTCTCGGCATTCCAACGCCACGGATGAACCTGACGGTTGCGTCTTGGCGATCCTGAATCGTGCCAGAACGCTATTCTTGGGACTTCAACACCGCGAAGCCTCATGACTGTTGCGCTTTCATAATCGTGAACCCTTTCAAATCACAATTTCTGGTACGCCGATCATGGGAATCCTGGAAACCCTTCTACCTGTTTAACAAACATGTGCGCGGCGCTCAGGCGAGAGCCACATGTTGAAAAGGAACCGCCCTCAATCCGCGAAGCTCTTGCAAATTTTGAATACGAATGTGCGCGGCGCTGAGGCGAGAGCCGTATTTTGAAAACGGCCCGCCCTCAATCCGTAAAACTCGTGCAAATGTTTGAAAACGAATGTGCGTTGCGCTCAGGCGAGAGCCACATGTTGAAAACCACCTGCCCTTCATCTGTGAAACTGGTGTCCATGTTAAGCTTCAGGGTCATTAGTGGTGAGGAAGTCTCAGGCGAAACGCCCGGCCCGCCCTAAAAGCTGGCCTCGGGGTGCGACAGGGAGAGGTTATTTAAAAGGAGGAGGAACGGAGGAGGAGGAGGAGGAGGCGGAGGAGGCGGAGGAGTGGGGCGCCCTCAATTTCCTCGTCGGGCTGGACTCTCGACGCTGAATGTCTTCGCTTTGGGGCACGGTGCCCCTCGGGGGCCTTGGGCCTTCGGCGACGGGACGCGTGTTCTTGACCTGCGCTCCCGTGGCCATGTTTTGACTGCACCGCATGCTCCTCCTCCTCACCCTCCCCCTCGTCCTCGTCCTCCTTCTCCTCCTCCTCCTCCTCGTCCTCCTCCTCCCGCATGCTCCTCCTCCTCACCCTCCCCCTCGTCCTCGTCCTCCTTCTCCTCCTCCTCCTCCTCGTCCTCCTCCTCCTCGTCCTCCTCCTCCTTCTCCTCCTCCTCTTCCTCCTACTTCTCCTCCTCCTCCTCCTGTTCCTCCTCCTCCTCCTCCTCCTCCTCCTCCTCCTCCTCCTCCTCCTCCTCACTCCCCCACATGCAGCCGACAAGAGCTGGCGGCCCTTCTCGGCGGCGGGCGAGGGGGGAAGTGAGAAGGAGCGGGCTTTTTTCTGAATGCGGCGGGACTTTCTAGAAGCCCTCGCGCCTTCTGAGAAGTTTCCTGCGTCTTACCAGAAGGTTTGGAAAACTTCTCAGAAGGCTGGGGGACTTCCGAGCCTTCTGAGAAGGCCTTCTCTTTCTCACTTCCCCCCCGGGCTCGCCGCTGAAGGATGGGCCACCGCCAGATAGGTCTGGCATTGGCAGCGTGGCCCCAGCGGGGTCTGAGATTGCCCTGCGGGGCCCGCGACGGTTCGACATGCTCCGTGGCATCCTTCCGTGGAGGTGCTCCTTGTGTCTTGGGGCAGGGTGCGCAGTCGAAGCAAGCTTTCAGCGCTGGCGAGAGTTCACCAGGTAGCCCTGGGTTTTGCGAGATCAGCTCGCGCCGTTTCTGCTGTCCTCCTCGTTTGTCGAAAATCGCCCTCGCCTGCGACGGCCGCGCATACCCAGCCTGCGCAGGCCGAGAATCCCAACAAGCTCGTGCTGAGCAAGAAGAGGGGCGGAGGGGGAGGCAGCAGGGTGAGGAGGCGCCTTGGCAGCTTACGCAGCTGCCCTGGTGCCCCCGTTTTGAAGCGCAGCACGTATCGTATTCAAAACACATGCGTGTGTTCACGCGTTGCGTGTTGGCTCAACGTGCTAGCCCACGCGTTCGCGAGCGTGTCACGCGAAACGTACGTTTTCAATCTTCGTGTTGAGCTCTGTGTCAACACGCTACGGGTTGCGTGTTGCGTATCGGGGCGGCTGGGCAACTTGATATCATTCGGACTTTGCATTTTTCGGCGAGGGCCATCGAAGAGCATCTTGGACCACCTGGCGAAAAAATGAGCGCACGACATCGGAGAATTCACGGGGGAATGGACGTCCGAGCGATGGCGAGGGCTTGGCAGCTTGGGGCCGCTGGGGGTCTGATGTGGTGCATTACTGGTTCTTGCCAGCAGGATGGGGGGTGAGAGAATCGAATCGAGGTACTGGGTTCGGCGAGGCTTTTTGCCTTTTTCATCCTCTGGGGGGCGCTTGCGGATCCCGGGACCGTCAGCAGCGGATCCAGGGTGAACAGTTGTGCCAGACGGATCTCGAGCGGGGTCGGGGGACCGATGTTGAGGGGATTCGGCTTCTTCCCCCTCCTCAGACCCCCGACGTCATGATTTGTTCATGGCGTCGACCCCAAGAGGTCTGGACCCAGTCCCCCGGACTGGTTTTTCGTCCTGAGTCGTTTTTTGACGGTCCCGAGGCATGGCAAGGGCCCCTGGAAGCCGAACATCGCGAAAAGCATGCCGTCGTGGTTTTGTTCATGACTCGAGGGGGTCTGAGTCCCACTCTCCTAGTTGATTTTCTCGGGGCACAACCAGCCCAGACCCCCCCTTGGCCGCCTCCGAGGAGCGGGCAGCAGGGCGAGAATGCCCCCCCGATGAGTTCCCAAGAGGTAATCAGGACAATCCCCGCGGCTACCAAGACACCCCGGAAGAGGCCCGACGGACATCCAAAAAGGCCCGCTCCGGGCTTCGGGCAGCCCAGAAGCCCCCGAGAGGTGTCTGAGCTGGCCTGAACACCTTCCAGAAATGTCCTGGACGGCAAAATGGAAGGCTCCCGCGGCAAACGCAGAAGACCCAACACATTGTAAGAGGCCCGACGTAAAAGCCGTCAGAGTGCGCCCGAAAAGCGCCCGAAGTGATTTACGAAACCCTGAGAAGGCCCATTGCGATTCTGACACAGGGAGCGGCGACGGCGACTTTCCCGAACGAGCGGGCGAGATGCATCAACTAAGCCACATCACTCCGCGTCCTGTTCCCCCTCGCTCCACCTCCTTTCTCCGTCTCCGTCCTACGTCCGTCCTTTTTTCTTTGTCGTCGTAGTCCTCTTCATCCTCCTCCTCCATCATTCGTCAATTGCTTCGTGTTCCTCCTCCCCTCCCCTCCTTGCCCAGCCCCGCCTTCCCCCCCCTCCCCCCGCCCTTCGGGGCATCGACGGAACCAACAATCGCTGATCGGAACATGTGGCACTATTCCCGACCATGTCAAGCTTGGTTACGCGTCCGTTGCATATCACAATGCGCCGCGCGGGATGATTGAGTGTGGGCCCGACGCAAGGTAACCGAGGCGCGGGTGACGGGATTGGCTCGCGGGGACAACCAGCGTGCTTAGGGGGTGCCAGCGCAAGCGGTTCGAAAGACTGACAACGCACAGCCGCCGCAGTCTGGGGCAGGAGCGCGAACAAGAACGGGGAACAGCACTTATACGTGCGAGTAGCAAGGGCGAATCAGACCACATACCCACGCACTGCGTAGATGTGCTCCAACAAAGCTCTGGGACGAACGAGTCAATCGGCGCGCGTCCATGCAAGCGACGCCCGCCGCGATCTCTCCATGCATTGCAGCGCAATGCAACCAACGGGGACAAAGCAGAACAATCTCGCTTGAACAGCGGAGCGCGGTCGTCGCCCCGTTCTACCTCGCATGCGTACGTTGGCGCAGCAAGTGCCAGAGTGCGTGTGCACAGTTCACAAAAAACCCGGACACCAGACTTCCTCTGAATACTTCTCTGTTGGGGGTGTCCGGCGGTCATAGGGCAGGCACCTGACGCAGGCAGAGGGGGGCCGGGGGTCCGGCTGTGATGTGTTGCGATGTTGCGAGGAGGAGGAGGAGGAGGAGGAGGAGGAGGAGGATGAGGAGGAGGAGGAGGAGGGGCCCCGACTGCCGAGAGGTCGGCGGGTGAGGGGCGCGCAGGCGGCCTCAGGCACCGAGGGCAGCGTGCAGCACGCAGCGCAGATGTGCAGAAACGGTCCGTGGCGATCTCTGCGCAGCGCGAGGGCGTCAGAGGTTGCGATCGCGCCGGCGAGCGAGGGAGCCTCCGGCTGAGGGCGCGCGGGGGGCCCTCGCCCCTGGGGGGGGCAGGAAAAGGCATGTGTGGGGCTTGTCTGGGGGTCAGAGAACGGGGTCGTCTGTAGTTCTTGCGCTACGGTCGCGGGGTTTGCACCGCTGGCGCCCGACAGCGTTTCGCGGAAACGCGGACCTGTTGTACGCGGTTGTGCTCGACGGGCGTTGGTTTGCCAAATGATTTGCCAGTGTGTTAGCGCAGGCCCGTTTAAGTGCACCATATCCTCCGGTGCGGCGTTTTTGTTTTTCGCATGTCTTTTAAGCGAGTTTACGCAAATCGGTTTCGGCCTTCGCCCAGACGTGTTAGGCTGCCGTATGCAATAAAACCCTGGGAGGCGACCTCGGAATTTGAAGTTCTAGATGGAAGTCATGATGGGCCCGCGGTGCTACGAACGTCTGGACCAGACATGTCGCGCGCCGAGAGCACGTTGACGCGAAAATGGGCGACCCAAGAGCCACGGCGACGAGCGATTAAGACAGCCCTCCTGAGGCCCCTGCGGGCTCCCCTGCAGACCTGACCCCCCAGACATTCCCAAGACATGTGGTTCCTCCTCGGAGCTCCCGTTCGCCGAGGGCCCCCAGCAGGCTTTCGGCGGAGGGCGTTCGTCAGCAACCCAGAGGAGCAGTGTAGGTCCGCGGAACTCCGTCTTTAGAGTGCACTGGCTTGCGCTAGCGTGTGGCAATCGATGAGACAGCGCCGATTTAGCGTCGACCGGCGTCGGTTAGCGTCGGCTCGCAAGAGCCAAGATGGCATGGGAGGCCCCCTATGAGATGCCACCGAGCGGGGCGGCGGGAAACAGGGGGAGAGCAGGAGGCGGGGGGCGGCCAAGAGGGGGTTGATGACTAGGGTGACGGCGGATATCATGGTTTGGGCCATGATTCTAGGCCTTCCAGATTCGGGTCGGCTCGGGTCGCGCCGCATCGCCGATAACATGGGCGGCTCGATGTGGAGCCCGATCTTCTCCACGCCGACGTTGCCGATGTATCTCCGATGCGTCGCCGTTGCATCGGCGAAGCGGCGCGACTCACCGATCCCATTTTCTCGGGCCCCGTCTGGGAGGTCTCTATGGGTCCGGGCACAGGGGGGGAGGAGGAGGCGGGGGCAGTCAAGAGGGGGGGGACGACTAGGAGGGGTCGATGGTATGGCTGGAGCCCTGGTATCTCTCCAAATTACATGGCCTCTTCTTCTTGTCCCAATGCGTCCCATGGTCCCCCTCGTCCGCGCACTTGCCTCTGGCAGCGATTTGCGTACCCGCCTCTTGGACGCCTCCCTTTTGCACGCAGTCGAAGTGCAGGATGGGGAGGATAATCATCGAAGAACAAAGCCGGCACAAGCATCACTCCTCGCAGTTTCGCGCGGATTTCTTCAGGAACCCGTCGCCGATCCAAGAACTCTGCGCTTCTCTGTGAACCGCGGACCTCCAACAGTTAATTGTTGTCAATACTGGTTTCTCTGGGTGCGGGATGGGGAGGAAGATGAGGGGCAACGTTAGAGGGGATAGGCTCAAGGAGGATGCATCGACACCCGATTGCCCGTTCGGCGCCGACCAGAGCCCGATGGCCCACCGCGCCCAAGGCCATGCGGCTTCGCCATCGGGGACCTTTCTTCGATCTATCAGAGGTGCATCGCCGATTCCAGGGCGATGTTAAACCTCTTGAGCTAGTCCAACCCAGCCTTCGCCCTCAGAGGAGGGATGGGGGAGGACGGGGACGAAGGCGACGGCGATGGCGATGACGATGAAGAGGAGGAGGGGGATAGGTTCCGAACCAGAAACAAGCAGCGCCAACACGATCGTCGCGGTCTGTCTCGATCTGCCGTTGGCCATGGCTCTTAGGTTTGTTTATTTGTCAGCGTAGAGTTAAGTCGGGCATGTCCCTCTACAGGAAGAATGCTCAATCTGGGGATGAGTTCTCTTGTATTGTTCGACTACTTATGAGTATTTGTTGTATATTTTACGACTTTCCATCCCAAATCCGCCTGTGGGGGGCATGCCCGACCTAAGCGTAGAGTCCCCTTTGTCCTCCAGTTTTGCTCAGCTGGATTTTTCTCACAGGCAGGCACCCCTCACGACCCCGCTCAGCACATCCCACTCCTGGCCTTGAACACGTACTGCTGGCTTGTCTGTCTGGTCAAGGGTGCAGCCAGGGGGACGCAAGGTGCGGGCCCGCTGGAGCGCAGTCGAGCCGGGAGGTCAGAGCTGAAGGAGGGAGCAGCGAGTCGCGAGTCAGAATAAGATGGCGAGGCTGGTAGAAACCTAAATTGGGGAAAGGAGAGGATGGTGACAAGGATGACAATTTTGTTCCCATGGCTTGCGAAAGGGAAGAAGTGCGGCGAGGAGGAACAGGAGGCCAGGCAGTGGCGGGTTGTCAGGATGGTCCTCGAAGTCGACGGGGCCGGCGCCTCATCTGGTCTGAGCACTTTCGTCGTGGAGATGATGACGGATGGGCGTTTGTTGCAGATCTCGGCGCACGACGAGGACCGCCAGCAGTTGATTGAGTCGGCGCACTGGAAGGCATACAGCCGAGACGTTGGAATGAAGACCACTTTGGCTTGAGAACGGGCTCGGGTTTTCGTGTTGTTCCTGAGATCTGGGTCGGGGAAAGATGATTCGCGGCCGAGGCTCGCCGATGCAAGCACAGCAGCCTTCGCTCCGAACTGGTGGCTGCCATGGCCTCACGATACCTGGACCGGAGAGGGGGCCCTCAGCTCCGGGCGTCACCGTAAATCGCCACGGCCGCGTTTGTTTTGGTGGTTGTTCTCACCGTCCTCGGCTCCCGGAGGCAGCTTTCCGGCCCCGGGGCCGTCCCTCTGCGATCGGCCCGCCCCCCGGAGAGCAGGCCGAGATATCCCCAATCTCCAGGGGGCGGCGCCGCGAAGATATATTGCGGCGTCGGAGGACGGAGGGTGGGCGGTGGGGCGGGGCGAGGACGAGGATAATTACGTCCGTTCCATGAGCGACCCGGAACGCTCTCGGAGCGTTCCGGAACGCTCTGGGACATCCTCCAGGGCCGTGGGATCTCAGAGACTCTCGGTTTATCCTCACCCGATGTTGTCCTCGTCCCGGCTTCGTCTCAGGGGGCGTAGAAGGAGGAGCAGAGGGCCCAGTCGTGAGCGGGTGGGAGGCTCCCGACTGTCGTGATTCTGCTCGCAGCGTGGACCTCTCCAGAAGTCTTGACCTTTCCTGGGGGGCGTTTTTTTGTTGTTGTTCCCTCTGGCTGTGTTTTTTGACGATTCCTCGAGCGCGAAGCATGCCCCGAAAGAGTTCGAGAGCTGCGAATAAACTCAGTCCGTTTTACCTTGTGATTTTTACGAGAAGCTGGATGCCTGGGTTCGGGAGGGGAGGAGGAGGAGGAGGAGGAGGAGGAGGAGGAGGAGGAGGAAGAGGAGGAGGAGGAGGAGGAGGAGCTGCGAAAAACCTGAGTCCCTTCTTTATCATTTTCCCTAGAAGCTGGATGCCTGGGTTCGGGAGGGGGGAAGGAGGAGGTGGAGAAGAAGGAGGAGGAGGAGGAGGAGCTGCGAATAACCTCAGTCATTATGTTTGCATGCATTTTCCCAAGAAGCAGGATGCCTGAGTTCATACCTCAGTCATTTGTTTGCAGAGGAGGAAGAAGCCAGGAGGAGAGGAGGGGGGAGGAGGAGGAGGAGGAGGAGGAGGAGGAGGTGGAGGAGGAGGAGGGAGGAGGAGGAGGAGGAGGTGGAGGAGGAGGAGGAGCAGTCTCCCTCGGATGGATCAGTGGCAACGTCAAGGGCGGACGGGCTCAGGCGGGGCACGAGTCGACCTCCAATCGCCCACTGGGCGCCGATCCAGGCCTCGATCGCCCTCCCCGCCCACTGACGTGCGGATTCGATTCCGGGGCTTATCGCCGATGTGTCGGCGATGTCTTGCTGATTCAAACTCGGTGTGTCCCCCCTATGCGCTGGGTGCCCTCCTCTTCCTCCTCCTCCTCTCCTCCTCCTCCTCCGCCTCCTCTCCGCCTTCTCCTCCTCCTCCCTCCTCCTCCCCCTCCTCCTCCTCTTCCTCCTCCTCCTCCTCCTCCTCCTTTTCCTTCTCCTCCTCCTCCTCCTCCTCCTCCTTCTCCTCCTCCTCCTCCTCCCCCTCCTTTCTCCTCCTCCTCCTCTCTCCTCCTCTCCGCCTCCCCTCCCTCTCCTCGTCCTCCTCCTCCTCCCCCTCATCCCCCTTTCCTCCCTCTCCTCCTCCCTCCTCCTTCCTCCTCCTCTCCTCCTCCTCTCCTCCTCCTGTCCTCCTCGTCCTCGTCCCCCTCCTCCTCCCCCTTCCTCCTCCTCCCCCCTCCTCCTCCACCTCCTCCTCCTCCTCCTCCTCCTCCTCCTCCTCCTCCCCTAACATTGCAACGCGTAGGAAAGGGGTGGGGGGAGGCCCCCTCCGTCGGAGGGAGGGCGCCCGCTCGCAGGACTCGCAGGTCTCCCTGGACCTCGCCGTGAGCGAGAAGAGCCACCGCAGGCAACCCTTCGGCCCTCGCGCGCGCTCGGTGCTACAGGCGCCAGGCAGGCCCACGTCAGGGATCTCCAAGCGGTGCCACACGAAAACGACGACGGCGACGACGACAACGACGACGACGGCGACGACCACGACCACGACGACGACGACGACCACCACGACGACGACGTTGACCACGACCACGATGACGACGACGACCACCACGACGACGACGACGACGTTGACCACGACCACGATGACGACCACGACCACGAGGACGACGACGACAATGACGATGACGACGACCACAACCACTACGACGACGACGGCCACGACCACGACCATGACGACGACGATGACGACCATGACGACGACCACGACGACGACGAAGACGACCATGACGACGACGACGACGAGGACGACGACGACGACGACGACCACGACCACGATCACGACGACGAGGACGACGACGACCACACGACGACCACGACGGCGACGACGTCGACGACGACGACGGCCACGACGACGACCACGAGGACGACGACGACGACCACGACGTTAATGACGAGGGCGACGACGACGACGACGACCACGATGACAATGACGACGACGATGATGATGACGACGACGACGACTGCAACGACCACGACTACGACGACGAGGACCACGACGATGGTGGCCACGACGACGACGACCACGACGACGAGGACGACGACGAGGACCACGACGACGATGGCCAGAACGTCGACTACGACGACCACGGCCACGACGACGACGACGACCACGACGACGACGACCACCAGGACGACGACGACCACCAGGACGACGACGACGACGACTACCATGACGACGACGACGAGGACGTTGACGGCGGCGACGACGACCACGACGATATCGACGACGACAACGATAACGATGACGACGATGACGACGTTAATGACGAGGACGACGACGATGACGTCGACCATGATGACAACGTTGGCGACGACCACGATGACGACGACGACGACGCCGACGACGACTACCACGACCACGACGACGACGACGAGGACCACGACGATGATGGCCACGACGACGACGAGGTCGCTGACCACGACGACGACGATGACGTCCACGACGACGACCACCACGACGACGACCACGACTACGACCACGACCACGACGACGAGGACGATCACCACGACGACATCCACCATGACGACGACGACGACGAGGACGTTGGCGACGACGACGACGACGATGACGACCACGACGACGACGACCACGACCACGACCACAACGACGACGACGAGGACGAGGATAAGGACGAGGGCGAGGACTGCGATGCTCTCAGAGCGTTCTGGAACGCTCTGAGAAGGCCGCGGCGCCCGATACATCATCCAGAGCCGCCAGATCTGAGAGATTCTCGATTCATCCTCACCCGAATTTATCCTCGTCTTGGCTTCGTCTTAATCGTTCGTGACTGCTGGGCTACCGTGCTGAGATAAATACACTTCGGATCTCCTGGGGTGGCCGCTCGACACCCGGGCCTGTCTGGTCGCTTGCCTTCTGTGGGCGGGGTGTGGCTGCGAGGCTGGGGTCAGCTGGGCGCTGCCATGGTTTGAGTCGGGGCGCACGAGAGGGGGGCATTGGGAAAGGGTGGGTTAAGAAATCGGCTGCATGCGGCTGGTCTCGGCCCCGCCGTCCTGCGAATTTCCTCGACACGTGAGCGCCGTGAGCCGCCGGAAAGAACCAGCTACTGTGTGAGCTGATTCGCTGGCCCCCCGTTGCTATCCATCCCGTCTCGTCTGGCCCGTTCCTGGCCGCCCGAGTTGGGGCCAGGGTAGGCTGGGTCGGAGGATCGCGCGGCATCTCCGATGCATCGGCGATGGGCCTCGATCTGGCGCCCGTTTTCTCCACCAAGACGACGATGCATCGCCGATGCTGTGCGACCCTCCGACCCCATCTGCTCCAGCATTGTTTTGGCGGCCCCTTGGGAGGAGACCCCGGCTTGAGGTGGCCACAGCATTTCCAGGGAGGCCCCGGCGGCCTCCGAAGCCCGCATCATCGGAAACTGGAACATACACATTACCAGTGGCGGGCTGTTTTTCAATCCCAGGACTTTTGAGGGTCGGGGACGACGCTGGGGTGGTTTGGTGTATACTTTTTTCCCCGATGTCCCGGGGAAACAACGAAAAATGTATACACCAGGATCCCGTATACACCAGGATCCGCTCTCCAGTACAAATTTCAATGCAGGGCCGGAAAAAGTGTCGGTGTATATAGAGGTCGCTTCCCTACTCCACGGGGCCCAGAGGACCCCCCGCGGGGGGCTCCGGAGCGGCTCGCGGAGTGCTGGGGGCAGGGGCGCGGCTGGCAACCCCTCCGAGCCGGGGTCGGGGCGTGCCTGCCCGCACGTGTGGGGGGCGCAGGCCCGCAGGGTGCTGCGCGGGCACGCACGTCGCAGGTCGGCCCGACGGCGCGTGCGGCGCAGCGGCGCGTGGCGGCGCTAGCGGCGCTCGTTGCCCGACCGCAGGCAGGGCGCGGCCGCCCACGCGAGTGGCCTGGCATCTCTCTGTGGTTTCCGGGGGCGGGTGCCGGCCCGGGGCCGGAGTTCCGGCGGGGTGCGCCCGGAAGCTCTCCCGCGTGCGTGCAGCTTTGGTGCCGCCTGTGGCTCTAGGGTTGGCCAGCCTTGCCGTCTGGAGGAGGGCTGTGTATCGCGATCGGGGCTTGGCTTCGCGTGCTGAGATCTCATAATGTGAAGCCTCATGTGGCCATCCTGGGGTCTGCAGGATTACGACACAGGAACAGAGAGTCGCTCTTCCTCCTCGGCCTCCATCTGTGCATCGGCTGGATCTTGCGACTGTGCTTTTGTGGCTGCTCCACTTCAGGAGCAGCAGTGGATCACCCAAACCAGCGCGGTTGCAAGCGTACGCCAGTTGGCTTGCGGCAGCGCTGGTGAGGTTGGGAAAGGGCGACTGGGGAAGGGTCGACGACCACCTAGAGTATAGTATTCAGCGCCCCTTCCCCGATCTTCTCATCCACCACCATCCTTAGTGGCATGGCATCCACCACCCCATCCCCGATCTTCCCATCCACCACCATGCCGACCTCCTCAGCCAGCCATGGCGGCGCCCCACGTCCCAGCGGAGTTGTTCGTGCCCGCAGCTTCTGGAGAAATCAGCGGAGCATCGGCCACCATGCAGTGCAATCGAGAGCATGACAATCGTCCACTCACTCAATGTCCACTTCGTTATGATCGATCTGGTTCGATACTTCGATTCTGGCCGGCTCGATCCGACTCGGTCTCGCTATTCTGACGGGTCCATGTGGCTAGATGCTTGCATGGCGTTGTTGTGCATCTTGGCGCTGTTGGTAGGTGTCGATTCCGTGCGGATGCAGCCCGATCTGACGCACTTCCCGATGCGTTGCGGGTTCCCGATTCGATGATGACTGGTCCTGCCCACCCTTTTGCAGACATCTGTGCGCCAGGAGCCCTCCGGTGCTTCTGCTCGGACGGCCGTCAGGGTCCATAGTCGGGGCAGGCGCATCCAGTCTTCGAGGAGGCGCATCCAATGCTCCAGTTTGTAGAATGAGGTTCTTTACGGACCTGGTCAAACTTTGCATTTCGCGCCTCTACTGGTGCGGGCTTTGTTTGAGGCGGCTCGCTGCGCGGGCGTCACGTTGCAGGCGTCGTCTTATGCTGCATGAGTGCCTGCTTCCGAGAGCCAGTAAAACAGCCGGCCACATTTTGGGAGATCTGCATATCAGCCAGGTCTTGTCTGCCACTTCGCTGTTGCGTAACGCGGTGTCGCACATTATCAGTCTGGCCTCGTGGTTTGGACCACCTCCTCGCGCTGCTATGGCCTTATCCTAGATTCATAGGTTATCTTAGCTGTTTGGCAAACCAGAAGACACTCTCTTCTATGCCTTCAAGCTGCCGCCAGGCTTTTCAGGGAGGCCGACGGGGAGTACTTCCGCATTGCCCAAAAGCTACGAGTGCTCGGGCACCTCGTGATGATTCAGCGTCTTGCTTTACGCATTCGAGATGATGTTCCATGTTATTTGGCGTTGGCTGATCCCTCATGGTTGCCATCCTGCATACAGGAAAGAAGGAAGCGTCATGCTGGCTTGTTCAATGCGGCCTCTCGCGTATGCACGAGCAGGAATTGGTGCGACTGACAGCGTACGCGTACCTTGGTATCTCATGTTTCTCAGGCCAGCTTGTGTGTCGCTCGTGCGCATGGCAATTGGGCTGGCTGTGCCCAGTCTTTTGCGTCAAATCGCAGTGTTGTCTGTCAGCTCTGGCGAATCATAGTTTGCTACCACGGTCACGGTCACCCGGATTGGTGTTCACATGGGGCTTCTTGATCCCACAGGGCGAGAGTCACGGCGGGCCCTCAATGGGAGGCTCGTGCTCGCATGTCACCCATCGGGTATTGCCCCGATCGGGTTGCTTGGACGGCCAGCGATTCTTCAGGAGGCTGGTTTCGGGGGACCCTTGGGGGGGCCTGGCGGAGCCTGCTTGGGGCCCGCTTGGAGCCTTCTTGAGCCCTTGCTCCGCTGTCTTCTGCCGGCCTGCATGGTCGCGGGCGATTTTTCTCCCCCAATCCCCGAGTTTCGCCCGAAAAGTCTGGCCGCTCAGAAGAATGGGAAAACCCTGGGATACACCCCAAGGGGGCTATTCGGACGCACCCCTATCGAGAATGGGCACCCCCCCATCGTATATCCCAGGGTTAGGTTCCAAATTTCTGGTCCATTCGGAACCCCCACGAAGCCTGGGATAGGGGTCGACATATCCCCTGTTACATGGGAGAGCAAGGGGAGGGAGAGGTGGAGGAGGAGGAGGAGGAGGAGGAGGCGGAGGAGGTGGAGGTGGAGGAGGAGATGGAAGAGGCGGTGGTACCCAGAGGTCCACGCAGGCCTCCAGAGGTCCCTGTGGAGGTAGGTCTTGCCGTGGGGTCTCGGGAGGCCCCGGCAGGCTTCCAGAGCCCAAGGAATTCAAAATCCGCGATCTTCCTGCATCCTTGCTCCTTGCAAGCACCTCCTTGCCACACCAGCACATGCGTCGTTTGGCCTGGTAAGGCGTCTCGCCTGAGACGCTTTCACGAGTTACGGCCCTGTGGCCTGAACATCCAAGCAGTTTGCAAGGTGTAGCTCCCGCCAGAGCGCCGCGCACACATTTCTCAACGCTTGCAGCGATTTTGCAGATGGGGCGCGATCCCTTTGAATCAATATTCCCGCTTAAGTTGTGTTCAGCTTCTTATTCAACGTGTGAGAAGGTTCAGCAGCAGTGCGGATTGATGGCGGTCCTTTCCTGCGTGAGACGTCCGTAATGTGATAATGTGATGTCCCGAAGAGCGAGACCGTGTATTATTTGCGCGGGTGGAAGGAGTTTCTTTTTCAACATTGGGTCGTTGATGACGCTTGGGGCTCTCCAGAAAGGGCCTCGCCTTCGAGAACCGACGGAGTTGACATCTCTTCCTCGGCGGAAGGCGGCGGAAGGCCGGCGGACGTAAAACGAGGGCCGCTCCGCCAGCGGAAGCCCGCGGAAGCTGGCGGAAGTAGGAGATTCGCCCCCAAGAGATGCAACATGTTTGGGTTCAGGGTTGTTTTGTTTGTCGGAATCGGCCATTTATTGACATATCACGTTCCAGCGTATTGTGACCAGACGGGGCTAGGACGAGGATGCATCCGTTCCAGAGCGTCCCGGGACGCTCTCAGAGCGTTCCAGAACGCTCTGAGCAGGTCGCTGCGCCCGAGACATCCTCCAGAGCCGCCGGATCTCAGAGATTCTCAATGTATCTTCACCCGATGTTCTCCACGTCCCGGCTTCGTCTTATGCGATGTCTGTCACTTTGCACCATCACAGTGCGCGGCGAATCCTTAACGAACGGGAGCCCCGCCCGCGTGGCACGCTCACTGCGGCCCTTGTCTCTCGAGGGAGCGTTCCCCCCTGTCGAAGGGGATGGCATGCAGGAGCCGCTGGAGATGGGACTCGGGTTAAGTCGGGCCTGTCCCTCTACAGGGGGAATATTCAAAAATAGTAAAGAAATAGTCTGGGGACTATTGTTTAAGTGTTTTTTTTGCCATTTTGGAATATTTGTTATTTTTCGTCGAACCCCCCCCTGTAGGGGGACACGCCCGACTTCAGACTCGGGACGGGAGGGCGTGTTTCGGTACGCAAATAATGGGAGGAGCCTGGGATACCCTCTCCATTCCGTCTTCAGCGCCGACTGGCGTCGATCAGCGTCGGGGGGTCGATGACGTACCGCCGATCTAGCGTCGGCTGGCGTCGCTCAGCATCGACTTAGCGCCGATCGGCGTCGACTAGCGCCGCTCAGCGTCGATTCGCAAGAGCCGACAGGATGGGTAGGGGAGGCTCCCATGAGTCGCCACCGAAGGAGGGCGTGTTGCAGCGCCTCTGCTGTATAACTATGACATGTGATCTGGTCTTCCTGCTTCTCGGATCGCAGGTGGACAAGGAGGCCTCCCCTGAGTCCAGCATAGTCTGCTGTCGATGTTTCGTGCTCTTGTGACTATGCTTGGCGATTTTTGCCTGCTCGATGTTCCTTCCAAGAACCGCCTGTAGGAGGACATGCCCGACCGAAGTCAAGCAGGTCGAGCCCGCTGTCATCCTTTCCCTTCTCCCCCCCACGGTGAGCTCGCGAAGGGTCTGGTGTTGGCCGCCTGTCCGCGGATCTGACCCATGAGATGGCGATCGTGTGAGTTAATTAATTCGGGCATGTCCCCCTACAGGGGGATGTTAGGTGAAAAATTAAAAATGGTCCAAACATATTCCCAAACATTCAAAAATAATCAAAAAATGGTCCCCATACTATTCTTAAACTATTTTTGAATGCTCTTGACACTACGACGCGCACAGCAACGCATGCTACGACTCATTGTGAACACGCCGAGGCGCCGGGAGAGCACCCAACATACTGCAGCAGCCGACGACGACGCCCACTCCAACCCTGACCGAGCAGACGACAGCACCAGCGACAGCACGAGCGACGCAAGACGGAAACTTAATTTCGACGACGTCGAAGGCGACGCAGACTTCGAGCCGTGGGAAGAGTTCATCCGCAGAGCCACGCATGCGGCTACAGATCTCGGTGCCCGTTTTCATGTGGTCGAGTGGACAACCATATACCACAAACGGCAATGGCGTTGGGCAAAACGAGTGGCAACGCAATCGCGCCACAGATGGACAAGACTTGCGGCAGCGT